CTTTTTACATATCTCACCGAAACCCAACCCTATATATGTATGTATGTATAATTATATCAAGTTAAATATTTATATATATATATATATATATATATGGATCTTGGTACATCTTATCCTTAAATATTAATATATATATATATATATTATATCAAGTTAAATATTAATATATTAAGTTAAATATTAATATATATAGATATACATAAATATATTAAGTTAAATGTACTCCTTAATATTTTTTATAATTATATCATATGTGTCATACATTAATGTGTAATTTAATTTAGTTATTATGTTTATCGAGTAAAAAAGCTCATTATGATTAAATGAGAAAGAAAACGAGGTCGGAAAAATAAATACAACAAAAGTTACTGTTTACAATTTTTATATTGTTTTTAAAACATTACACTGTGAATTATATTTAGCTTAATATTAAAATGTTTACTATAACAAATTAAATGTAAAAAAAATTACTTTTATGTATGAATTTATGTTTTACTTATATGTTTTAGGTTTAACAATATTATTTATAGTTCAAAATGAAATTTTGTTTTACCATTTATCTATTACTCGTTATTTTATTGGGTAAGGTAGAATGCGAATAACAGTTTTATAACATGGATAATTTCCTATTTCGTTACCCGCTATTTTAAATAATAGAGGTGAATTATTATGCAACCATTTACATTTGTACAACCAATACAACTCAATCTCAACCGTTCATTTAATTTGATGAATATGCGATTTCATAAAAGTTTTGATTGTTTCTTAATATAAATGATTGATCATAATTAATGAACTCTAGTCATCTTCCATAAATATTCAAATCATAATAAATGAACTCTCATCATTTTCATAAATATCTCAATTGATTAGATTGCATTAGTTGTACAAATGTGATGAGTTGCATTTAAAACGTTCTCTAAAATAATAACCCTTTTAAATAAGAAATCAAGAATTTCAAAGATTTTATTCCATTTGATCTTTTTTTTCTTGAGAAAAATAAATAAATTTTGCGTCACAGTGAACTCAATGAGCAAAAAAAAGACCAAAATGCACCTCATATAAGGGGTACACGACTCACTTAACGGATTATAAACTAACTATGTCTATGTAAGAGGAAAGTTTGGGGTAAAAACCCTGATTTTTGGAACAAAAATGTACTTTTTGTTTTGGAGGGATCAAAATCAAAAAGCAAATATTTACGAGGGACCAAATTTGTAGTTCACTCTAATTTTAATAACGTTATATGTATTGTGTAACATTACACAATTTCCAGTCCTTCAATATAAAAAAAATATCATCCTCTGAATCTAAGAGCAATTCTTGCAACAAAGCAGTAATAAAAACACAACTTTTGTAGAGTATTAATAATGTGCTTTTATATTCCAACAACTGTAATAATATCAAACTACGAGCTTAATCTGCACTTTCTTCTCAAGACATCTTGATCTGTCAGTTGTTTTTTCATACTGCTACTTTAATTCTATATTTGTTTGGGTTGAATAATTTAAAGGAGTTGGACGAACCTAAAGTTTAATGAGAATCATGGTTTTTTTTTGCTACAATTGTGTTATTCATTCCAAACATTAAAGCCAAACTATTTTTTTTTAGCAACAATTGTGTTTTTCATTCCAAACATATTTCAAACGTTAAAGCCAAACTATTTCATAAATACGTATGCATTTATCACAAGTCATAGTAGTAGATTCTACATAGCGGTGACGAAAATTTAGGGAGTGTACACTACTTTTGGTAAATTCTCATTTTCTTTTTCCAGCGTAGTATGATAATGGTGATTTGCCCAGACCCAGTGGGGAACCTGGCTCACCCGACTCGAATGGAGACGGGGATTCCCCGCTAAAACGTGTCTCGGGGCCGGGACCGGGGCTAGGGGATGTTACTCAAACCGGGGTCACGGTCGGGGCCAGGGCCAGGGATCCCCGGTAGACTCAAACTAACGAATATTTATTATGAGATTTGACCGAGTACAAGATGTTAATCCTTGTACCCGCCGGGAACGGGGGCTGGGGCCGGGGGCTGGGGGCTATTACTAAAAACCGGGGACAGGGAATACAAAACCTGCCTCATTCCTGCCACGTTGCCATGCATAGTTAGTATATATGTCATGCTCTTGGGGATAAAATATGCAACTCTCATTTAGATCATTATAGTGAGTGACAGACCCATGAATTATTTGGAGCGGATGCACATTTAAAATCGCAAAATTGCTGTTGATGCCGAGTGGGGGTGGGGGTGGGGGTGGGGAAGGCAACACGATTATCGATCCGGTAACAAGTTAATTGTGTCAATTTGGGGAATAACATACATTTTTCCAAATGAAATCCTTCACCATTTGAGCAAGATGCAAGATTGTGCCTTACGCTTGATGTATTTTTAGCCGAATTTCAACAACTTCATATTCTTGTTATAAATTTGGTTCTCATATATTTAAGGGCACCCTCATAATTAAACGGGTGCCACATTTATCACGTCTCATTTTTTTTTTCTTTTTTTATAATCGAGTGAGTGGATGCACAAGACCTTGCTCAACCCTTAATAGGTCCGCCTCTGACTATAATCAAATGAAAACCCACTGTAAATGCGTGAGTCAACGACACACCACATAACACAATTTGCAATTATAAACCACATATGTGCATTCTCAAAATGAATCATATACTTCCATGCATCAATACTCATAAAATAGATTATCATGACACAAATAATCATCATTTAAAAACAACATTTGACCAGTTACAACCCATAAAAACGTCAAACAAAACTACGTTGCTTATAGTGTATATCCCCTACAAGATCAAAATAATTCTTGAGAGGTGTCTTAGAGGCCGTTTACCAAACACTTATCCAATAAGTGCTTATTGGTAAAATTTAACACTATTGTTTACTTAGGTAGCGTTTGGTATGCAGACTGTACGGGACATGATGGGACAGGACAGGACGGGACGGGACAAGACTAATTGTCTGTCCTATGTTTGGTACGATTAGGACAGGACATGACAAAACTGTTAAAATGACCATATTACCCCTAAATGTTGTTCAGTGTTATTTTATATTATATAATGATTGTAAAATGACAACAAATCAACCAAAATATATTTTAATTACACAGTTTTCCCTGTCAAGATCTTGCACTCTTTTCCTCAAAAATATTTCTCTTGTTTTCACACCGAGTAAAGTTGTGACACACGAAACGAAAGCCGTAGACAACTTTGCAACAGTCATATTGAGGTAAATGAGCTATTTATTTTAAAGATTTCCAGAATCTGTTTCTGAGTACATCGAGTTGCTGCGGTCTTTGTGCTAGACTTGCTAAACATCCCACTTCAGCATGAGATAGATGATGATGGGAATAAAGTTGTTATAGGAGATGGCATTAGTCTGGGAGGAGAACCCAGACTGGAAATATGGAAGATACAGTTGGTGCTTGCATATGGGCATATGGAAGATGCAGTTGGTGCATATGGAAGAAGACGGTAATGAAGGATGGATAATTAGTTTTTCTATTGGAAGAAAAGGGTAACATAGTCATTTTATATTTAGTCCCATGTTGTTCCACCTTTTTTGGTGGAACAAAAATTATCAAATTTTTGTCCCATGAAATTTAAAAATAGTCTCATCTTGTCCTATGTATTTTTTGTCCATGACATGCCAAACATGGGACTATTTTTTTTGTCACGTCCCGTCCCATCTAGTCTGCATACCAAACGCACCCTACCGGGTAAAATTTTAGTCCACCAAAACGACATCCTATGCAACAATTTACCTAGTAAGCGCTTACCGTGGTAAGAGTCGTCGCCCTCACTTACCGGGTAAGACTTTTGGTCATTATCTCACTCTTACCGGGTAAGATTCTTAGTCCTTACCATATTAATCCGCTAAGATAATGTTACTTGTTAAGCATTTATCTGGATAAAAGCGTTTGGTAGTACAATTACTTTGTTCTTCCTTTGAAAAAAATGCTTATTTTTAATTTAAAAAAAAGGATTATAAATGAATTAAAAAAATAATCAATTGATTTTTAGGCAAAAAAAATACCAAGAGGCAATACTTTCTTGAACTAAAAGCTTTCATACGACGTCGTTAGGATATGAGATTTTCTCCATCCGAGTTGGGAGCATTTACGTGAGATAACATATGTCCACGTGTCCCGTATCTTCTCCCTTGGACAATCGTCCGCTCTAATGGCGCCCGTAACTCTCTTTGTGACGGCGACGAAGCTCGCCGGAGTTTTAGCCACCATTACCGTAGCCGCCAACGCCTTCTCCTTCTCCCGTTATCGGAAAAGAAATCTCGCCCCCTTTGACTGTCCTATTGATGAAACCTCCGACACTCTCGCTACCTTCAACATCAATTCCTCCGATTCAGACGACGGTAAACTTAATTTCTTCATTAGATTCCAGATTATCGGAACTTCACATGCCTATTTAATTTACCGGTTTCATTTGTACTTCGAATTATTCCATAATTGGGCTTAATTTGTTGAATTAGAGCTTTGATTTGTGCTGGTTTACTTTCTCCATTTCAAAATGTAATAACATATTCAGTTCTTCGTTTGATTGCAATTTGAAGATGCACGCAACTTTTAATTGATCTCAGAAGATGAAAAAAACGAATCATTAATCAATACAAACGTTGACAAGATTTAGAGTTATTTTTTCTCATATATGTAGAAAGGTTTAATGGTTTATAGCTTTAGAGGATTGTTTCTTTCCATATTTAGCCGAATGGTATAATTTGCAAAGAGGGAGCATCTGATTGCATTTAATCAGGTATCAAGTTTTGGGAAATGTGGGAATGAAGATGATACAATGTAGTTATTACAATTTTTAATTAACTAAATAACAAGAATCCTTGTAATAATAGAGGGTGAAATGAATTTTTTATATGTCTCATAATTACGAGTACGAATTGAAAGGTAGACACTTATTTTGGACAAACTAAAATAAATCTGTGGACACCTATTTAGGCTGAGAGAGTAAGGGGCCGTTTACCAAAATGCTTAACTGGGTACATGCTTACCAAATCATATTACATTACCGGATGAATATGGTAAGGACCAAGAATCTTACCCAACAATAGCGAGACAAAGATCAAGAGTCTTACCCGGTAAGTGAGGCAACGACTCTTACCACGGTAAGTGCTTACTGCGTAAATTGTTGCATACGATGTCGTTTTGATGGACTAAAATCTTACGTGATAAATAAATGATAGTGTTAATTTTGCCAGTAAGCGCTTACCGAGCAAGTGTTTGGTAAAGTGGATGGATCATAGCAAAGGACACTCAAGTAAATAGGAAAATATGGATTCATTTATTTTCTATTAATGTCTGATTCTGTATGATATGACTGTCCGTAGAAGAGGAGGAACATTTCTTTTTCGGGTTGGCAACAGCACCAGCTCATGTTGAAGACGGGCTTAATGATGCTTGGCTTCAGTTTGCACAAGATGAGGCTGTCAATGAACAAGATGAGATGAAAACAGCAGATGCAGCAATGGCTTCTGCAACCGGTGATGGTGGATCTCAGCAAGCTCCTGCTCCTGCTCCTTTAAAGAGGAAGAAGTCTCTTAAGGTAGCCATGGAAGCGAAAGTTAGAGGACTTGTGAAATATATTGAAGAGGATGAATCCACATCAACCAAAGAAGAAGAAGCGCAGCAAAATGTTGCTGCATGGCACAATGTGCCAAACCCGTAAGCCTGATAAATTACTTTTTGTTTCATGAGTAGCTAATTATTTCATGAAAGCATATGGTTTATTGATCTTTTTCAGGGAGGAAAGGCTAAGGTTTTGGTCTGATCCTGATACGGAATTAAAGTTGGCTAAAGATACTGGTGTTAAGGTGTTCCGTATGGGAATAGATTGGACTAGGATCATGCCAATAGAGCCCCTCAATGGCCTTAAAGAATCAGTAAGCAGTTTAACATGTCCTTCAAGTCATCTAAACATTTTTCTTCTTTTTCTGGAACTGATATGGTCTCTATAAGGTTAATTATGCAGCATTGGAGAGATATCGATGGATCATCAATAGAGTTCAATCTTATGGTATGAAGGTTATGCTGACTTTGTTCCACCATTCACTGCCGCCATGGGCCGGGGATTATGGAGGATGGAAATCAGAAAAAACAGTAGACTATTTTATGGACTTTACTAGGTCAGTCTTCTGTCCACGAATGTATCAATTATATTGGAAGCATATATATATATATACACACACACATATATATATCCATTATGTGAATATATTTGCACCTAAGATTTTGGGTGTCAAAAACCTGTTACAGGCTGGTTGTTGACCAAGTATTTGAGCTCGTGGACTATTGGGTAACGTTTAACGAGCCTCATGTGTTCTGTATGCTGACTTACTGTGCTGGTACTTGGCCGGGTGGTCATCCTGACATGTTGGAGGCTGCTACTTCTGCGCTACCAACTGGTGTTTTTCACCAGGCTATGCACTGGATCGCTGTTGCTCACTCTCAGGCCTATGATTACATCCATGAACAAAGGTTAATTTCCATCTACACCTATATATCTATTGTTAATAAATTTATATAATTTGTTCATAAACATGCACTTCATGTTGCTCGTTGCAGTGTATTGTTAAAACCAATTGTGGGAGTTGCACACCATGTCTCTTTTATGCGTCCATATGGCCTCTTCGACGTTGCTGCTGTTTCCATAGCTAATTCTTTGAGTCTCTTCCCATTTTTGGACGATATATCTGATAAAATGGACTATATAGGAATAAATTACTACGGCCAGGTACTCTTGCTTCAAATCTAGCACACTTAATTGGTGTTGAGAATTATGGCTATAATTTTCATATCTCATCTCATTTCTACTTTCTGTACTCTTTTGGTAAAATAGGAGGATGCAGAGACCTTATTACACTAAAAAGGTCTTGACTGCCCACCTATGTTATACGAAAACAAAAATAAAAAGCAAACGAACCCAGTATCTTCCTCAGGGGAAGGTAAGATGTACATAGACCGGACCTCTACCCCAAATAGTAGAGCGGCTTGTGAAAAATGTGACAAACAGAGAAAGCTCAGATATGATACAAAAGTCGAAAACTATGAGTGAAAAATGGAATGATGCAACTTTTAGCTGTGTTTCTGATGTTTTTCTTAGTTTATCAGGAAGTGATCGGTGGTGCTGCACTAAAATTAGTTGACACTGACGAATATAGTGAATCGGGACGTGGAGTATATCCAGATGGCTTGTTTCGAGTTCTGTTGCATTACCATGAAAGATACAAAGATCTCAAAATTCCCTTTATTATTGCTGAAAATGGTATCTCTGATGAGACAGATTTGATACGGAGACCGTACATTTTAGAACATTTACTTGCAGTTTATGGAGCCATGATGATGGTATATATGTTAGAACTTTGATCCATCTAATAATTAAAAAGAAGTCAAAATTTAAGTTTGTAGGTAATTTGGACGTTGAATTGTAACTGTGCAGGGTGTTCGAGTCCTTGGGTACTTGTTCTGGACCACTTCCGACAACTGGGAATGGGCCGATGGCTATGGTCCTAAATTTGGGCTCGTGGCGGTTGATCGGTTCAATGATCTTGCACGGGTCCCACGTCCCTCGTACCATCTGTACTCCAAGGTACAACCGAGTTGACTTTTGTTTTGACTTGTATCAATGTCTCAGGTGTCATCTTGGATATCAGGTGGTGACTACCGGTAAAATTACTCGGGAAGACCGAGACAAAGCATGGTACGAACTCCGGAAAGCAGCTAGAGAGAAGAAAACAAGACCGTTCTATCGTAAAGTAAACAAACACGGGTTCATGTACGCAGGTAAGTGGTGCACTCCTATTTGTTACTACTATACAGTCTCTTGGTTCGGTTTCAGTGACAACAACCTTCTTTCGTGAGAACGTGAGGAAAAAACGAAGGTATCATTATATTGTGTGAAAGTTTGTCACGAGAATTGCAAAGATATTTTAATATTGTGGAAAGGTTACAACGTTCACACAATATAATGTAACATTCCAACAGACAGCTGAAACTGACGTGAAAGTTACAATATTCCTACAAATATCAAATAACATTCACACAATACATCTCACGAAAGGGAAAATTTCTCGGCTCACGAGTTTAGCCAAGCCAAATAAAGTTTTAAATGTGACGATGATCTTGCCAAGTCGAGTTCTTAACATGGTGTTCTGATTGGTTGATTGTACACACAGGAGGTCTGGACGAACCCATAATGCGACCGTTTATTGAACGGGATTGGCGATTTGGACACTATGAAATGGAAGGATTACAAGACCCGTTTAGCCGATTTTCAAGATCCATCCTTCGGCTTCTTCCCCTAAGGAGGAAGAAAGCCGAAGATCAAGTGGAGTACGATGAAGTCGCCGTTCAGGCGGTTTAGTTTCGAGATTATGGTAATCTGTGTTATGTAAATGGACTGGAGGTCCATCTAATTGTACTATAAGATCGATCTGTGAACTTCAAGATTTGCTGATTCAACTTTTTACTTTTTGTAATAAATCTTCTTATGATGTTAAAATTCAGGAACTGGAAATTACAAATTCACAATTATAACAACTATTGAGGTCGATTCAAGAGATTTGGGATCAAAAGTTGTTAAAACTTTTATCTAGAGTAAATTACGTTTTTAGTCCCTATGGTTTGTTAAAATTGCAGATGTCATCCCTATACTTTTAAAATTTTGGTTTTCATGATTTACAGTTCATTTTTATTTTTTATTTTTATCCCTGAGTTCAAAATACTACTTTTAATATGAAAGGCTGAAACATTTTTTAATTGTATACTGTAGGAACGAGAAAAGTAATAAATTTTAAATTATAGGTACGAAAAATGTAATGAGTTATAAATTATAGGGATGAAAATTATAATTTCAAAACCATAAGGATGAAAATTAAAAAATTTAACAAACTATAGGGACTAAAAACATAAATTACTTTATCTATTTTAAGATTTTTATTATTTCTTTTATCTAAAACAAATACTACAATATTATTACTTATAACACTCTCATTGCTATATCTATATGAGCTGCTAAAATATTAAAAATCCAAAATCTAACCGCTAATAAAACTTTATTAGAGTGAAAATTTTATAATAATTTAATCGTAATTAATATTTCAAAACTACCCTATCTCATATTACGTTACATATAAATTCAATTAAAACACTAAGGGTGCGTTTGGTTTGCAGGAATGTTTTTGAGGGATTTGGATTCCTAAGAGGGATTTGGATTCCATGGGATTTGGATTGGATTGGATTTGAAATCCATTCCTTTGTTTGGTTTGTAGGATTTGTAGTATTGAGAACTACAGAAATCGAAAATTATCGAGGATTCCTCAATCCAGCAAATTATCGAGAACTACAGAAATCGAAAAGGGGAAAGGGATTCACCTGTTGACCGACGGAGGCGGCGACGGAGGCGGCGACGGAGACGAAGGCGACGGCGACGGAGACGGAGGGAGACGAACGGCGACGAAGGGAGACGAACGGCGACGAACGGAGACGAACGGCGACGAACGGAGACGAACGGAGACGAAGGGCGACGAAGGGCGACGGAGACGGTGGGCGACGAAGGGCGACGGAGACGGTGGGCGACGGAGACGGTGAGCGACGACCACCTACGGAGGCGGCGACGGAGAGGAAGGGCGACGGCGACGGTGACGGAGGGAGATGAACGGCGACGGCGACGGTGACGGAGGGAGAGGAAGGGCGAAAGGCGACGGGATGGAGACGAGTTAGGGCAAGCATGTACTGTGGGAGACGATGGAGACGATGTAAGGGAAGGGATTTCAAATCCCGTGTGTTTTGGAAGGATTTCCAAATCCAGCGTTCAAGGGATTTCAAAGGAATCCATGGATTTCAAATATTCACAATCCAGCAAACCAAACACAGGGTTGGATTGGATTTCAAATCCAAATCCCTCCAAATCCCTCCAAATCCCTCAAACCAAACACGCCCTAAGCATTTTATAAATCATAACTTGAATAACATAGTTCTATTTCTTACGCAAATCTTTACCCTTATCCGTTCTTGAACTTCCAGCTCCTGACATGGATATTAATAGTCAGTTTTATAAAGCTTAATGTGCTTATGTTTTTCATGCATAAAGCATGCATGTCCCAATATGCATTATACAACAAACAAATACTCAAATAACAGTATGCACTTTTGTTTTAAACCCCCTTTTATAATTATAATGAGATTTCTTAAATTCCCGTTGGGTTAAGGTCATACTAACTATCATCGACACTTCCCTGGGTTACACGACTATCCCTTGTCCGACCACTCATTCCTAGGATGTGTCATCCCTTATAATTATTGACTCATTCTCATACCCGACAAAAATATTAACTCGTTTATAACATGGTAATTAATGATTAAAAACACGTAAACAAATAACATACAACTCACAATAATAATTCATATACATGCACCAGGCCCATAAACATGTGCATAAATATAACACAATGCTCAAATAATTTGTACGTGAGCATGCATCCCAGTTAAAGTTTCATGAAAACTCACTTGACTTCATAGGTTGCCCTGGAATCGTCCCTCAGTCCCTGATTAATAACCCACGCTTTTTAAACCACACCATCCAATTAATGACCATGTTTTCTCCAAAAATCGACCAAAAAGTACAAAGCAACTCAATAAGGTCAAGCCTATGACTTTGGTCCACAGTGTCATCCCTCGTTTAATTTGTTCAATCTCTATCGAATATCGTTAAACCCAAGTCTTAAGCCTTATGACGTCCTATAACATCAATTTAACATTTTATAACATTCTTCACTCCTAATTAAAGTGCTTCAATAATTATTGATTTTAATTACGCACTTTACTCTCATTATAAATTTCATTAACGTCGGTTTACCCTTTATAACTATATAAACTTTGTAATTCGATTTAAAGCGTCTTGATAGTCATAATTCCTTTATTCGACACTTTAATCTATTTGTTAAACTATTTCAATATAAATAAAACAATTTATTAAAACCACCCTTTATAAATCAAATAATTAGAAGAGTAAAATTAAAACTTCTAACTCCATTATCCATTGCCTTAACCGATTGCATCCTCACCTTGAGATACCACCTTTTATATATATATATATATATATATATATATATATATATATAGAGGGATGTTATTCTACACCCTTTGCTATTCTTACACCCTATACAACCCTCATCTCAACCATTCAATTTTTAATCAATTAATTGTTTTCTAATATAAAGTATTAATCATAATTAATAAACTCTATTCATATTCCATAAATATTCAAATCATAATAAATGAACTCCAATTATTTCTATAAATATCTCAATTAATTGGGTTGCAAAGGTTGTACAAATGCACAAGGTTGTAAAAAAAATATACCCTATATATATATACATACTAGAAAGGTGCTCACACAATATAACGATATATATTTTGATTTTCATATTTTATTTTATTCTTTATCTCAGTCGATGTTATAATATGGTCTTATGTGATTCTGAAAAAGCGATGATGTTTTTATTTTTTGAATAAAATATAAATTTGAAGACATCATAAAAATTTGACAAAAATATATCGATATTACTATCAAATTAACTATTTAAAATTCCTCATTTTTTGTATAATTTTTTAATTCAATTTTTTTTATTATAATTTAATTTAGGTTTAAAAACAAAGTAATTTATATTTGGTTTAATAATATAATTTTCTTATAAAGATAATAATTAATTATTTTGTTAAAACTCAATAATTATCCTAATTATAATCTAGATTTTTTATACTTTAAAATGAGATGTTTATCCTCTATTTGATTATATTTATCCCCAGTTAGTTATACGAATTCAAACACGGAGCTTTAATAAGTTGTACTTATGCATAATTTACTTTCAATATTGAATTTTTAAGTAATATGCATCGATATACAGTACTTCATGCATTAAAAATGTTTTTTAAAAGTTTTTATCAAATACTTTATAATATAGTGTGTGTGTGTGTATATATATATATATATATATATATATATATATATGAAAGATCGATCAAATGCAAACCACCCAATTTGTACATACCGTGTAAATCACCCTCATCCGTCGATTTCATTGTTTAATTTTATGAAATTTTTCATGAAATTGTTTAATCTTGTGAAATTGTTTCATATAATACTTTTTTTTTGATGAATTTGTTTCATATATGGTTATGAAATTGTTTCATATAATACTTAATGAAATTTTAATGAAACTGTTTCATGTATTTCTCTAAAATTAAAATAATGAAGATGATAATATCCATGATTAACACCCTCCACAATAAAAATGATTAATCAACCTCTCATAATTACAAAAAAATGAACAAAATGAAAAATTATGATTGGTTGAATAAGGTTTGCACGGTTTGTACAAATTAGATGGTTTGCATTTGATCACTCTTCTATATACGTGTGTATGTTTTATGAACAAAACATGCAAGAAAGTCATCACTATCACCAAATTACATATATCCTTCATTCACATACATGTCGCATGCATATATATGCATGTCTAAATCAAGGCATGAATATGAACAAATAAAAACTTTGGTCAAAGCAATAATCCATGGTGGTTTATGTTTTATCTTTTCTAAGATCGTAGCCGCGTATATATTTATGCTCACAACCACAGGGCAGTACTGTTTTTAAAACCCAAGCCATACACGCCCATTTGACTCTTTTTTTTCTAGGCCGATACACGGTCGTGTTGAACCAATATACAACCCTTTGTTTCATGTTTTCCAATTTTATGACTACAAAGACTATCATTTTTATCCGTAACATATGATCTCCATTTGAATCGAAAGATTATCCATCATCCGATCAACTAATCGACTCAATAAATACATATATAAATCTCAAATCACTAGTGCAATATTGAACCAAGAATTATAGGGATTCTTACATTTGTTTTACAGTTCAATCGAGACAAACAAAACGACATGACATCGGGTTTAAACCACCGTCGCCGCTCAAGGCGATGACTATTAGTCAGTAACCTTTAGGCCGCCATTGCAACCAAGCAACCCGCCGACCAAATCGTTAAATAGTTTTACATATTTATAAGATGTTAATCGAGGCTTAAACATAATGTATTACCTTTATCGACGCTTGAATGCTAATGAAACTAGAACTCCCACCCTCGATTTGCATTCCCGTCCTTCACGAGTTTTTTTGTTTCCCACTTTGTGGCTTGAAAAGCAGAAGAGCTTATATATATATATATTTGTACAACCAATGCAACCCAATCAATTGAGATATTTATGGAAATGATGAGAGTTCATTTATGGAAGATGACTATGACTCATTAATTATGATTAATACTTTATATTATGAAACAATCAAAACTTTTATGAAATCACATATTCATCAAATTAAATGGACGGTTGAGATTGAGTTGTATTGGTTGTACAAATGTAAAGGGTTGCATAATAACTCACCTCTCTCTCTATATACATGTATATATATAGGGGTTCATTCAAGGGAGAACTGACTAGTTTGTGGTAACCGTGAGATCCAATCTCAACCGCAAATCAATAGATA